CAAGTTACTTACCATTTGAACCAACTCGTTGGTGATATTTGTGAATATTCACCGACTAATTTAGTGTCATATTGATACACGAAATAACAGTTGATATGTTATGTAAGATATTATCATATTGGACATTTTAAAAATACATGTACCACAAGGTACACATTACATTTTATATCTTGTTAAGGTCCAAATACTAAATGTGATATTATCTCATAATTAATTATTAATTTATTTTAGTATTTGATTGAAAAATTTATATGCTTGAACCCATCAAATGATTTTAGTAATTAAAAATAGTGTTTTTCTCACCGAGATCCCAAGTTTGAACACTTATATCTATAAGGTGTGTGCATTGTACATGACGAAGATTTTTTTTAACAAATATTATATTGTAATCAAGGGAGAATGCAAGATCTTATGCTAGGGGAAGAACTTATAAAATTATAGGAGATGAAAATATATTATCAATAGAAAATACAAATAAAATAACTAGGCTTAAGGGTTACTTTCACCCCGTAGTATACCCAATTTATCATTTTCATCCATGTGGTATTTTCGAATCAATTTAGCCCTCAAAATTGTTTAATTGCATCTAGGTTTAAAATATTTAGGCTAAATACCAAAATAAGTGTCCAAACTATACATAAATTCTTGAATATGTGCCTAAACTATTTGTTGACTTATCCAGGTGTCTAACGTTACAAACGTTACCCATTGTGCCCGAACCGTCAACGACGTTAATTTCCCCTTAAGTGAATGTGTCATAATTTGGTGGTTTTAAAAATTATTTAAAATTAAAAAAATAAAATTATATATATTTTCAAAGAAAAACATAAACATTTTGAAATAACCCTAAAAACTTTGAAAACATTCATTTCAACCCATAAACCCACATCGACCATCGTCCTTTGTCGTCGACGAAGCTCCATTCGACCTCATCTCAACCCAGCGACCAAAACCCTATGAAATCGTGATCGATTGACGAAAAAGTTTTATACCCCTCGAACCCTAGGATGAAAATCGCGATCCCACGCGATCTCGACTGCTAATCAACGAGACAACTACAATAGCTTATGACTAGGAGAATGACAAGGACTACATCAACGACAGTGGTCGTGGCCAGAAAAGGGGGCGAGTGGGGATTAATGATATCATTTGGGGATTTTATGTATTTTGGGGCTTTTTATAATTTAAGAAAATTAGGTTTTTTATAAATATAATAATATTTAAAAAATAAATTTTAAAAGCACCAAATTGTGACACGTGTCACTTAAGACATGGGAAATTAACGTCGTTAACGGCTCGAGCACCTAAATGGATAACATTTGTAATGTTAGACACCTAGACAGATCAAAAAATAGTTTAGGCACCTATTCGAGAATTTAGGTATAGTTTGAGCACTTATTTTGGTATTAAGCCAAATATTTACTATTGTTTAGAGTTTTAAGTTTTATGTAGGGTTTAAGGTTCTATTAGTTAGGGGTTAAGGCATAGAGTTTAGGATCTAAGATTTAAAGTTTTAAGTTAGGTTTAAGATTATACAATTAAACAATTTCGATCGATAAATTGATGCGAAAAAAACATAAGGGTGAAAATGATAAATTGAGCCTACTACAGGGCAAAAGTAGCCCTTAACTCAAATATCTAAAATATATATTAATTTAAATTTTTTAGGGAGTAATCCCCCTTCTTCGATCCATTTTTGCTTATAATCATTCCTAATTATTAAAAAAAATATGTTTAAACACATTTGTATCGGTAAATTTTCGATTATTACGATTATAATGATATTAACGTAATTAAAACTCAATACCAATTGGACATAGAATTATAGAAATAGAAGAATGGCATGCGATGGTAAAGCATAGTAGTTTCCTGACTATTACGAATGGAATAAACTGAGTTGAGAATGTCTTTCTTATTTTTACAATACTCGATTCAGATTAATTAATTAATATATCGGATATATATGGTTATATAAAAAAAAGCATAATAGTTTCCTTTATTTGACTGATGCAAATTTTTGGCATCATGGATAAAGCTGATTTCCTCTTCAAATGTAATAGTTTGTTTATTTAATTATAACTAAACATTTATAGTGCAATTTTTGATATGACAGGTCTTAATAAATTCTATGACAAAAATTACTGGGAATCACATGAGTGGCCTGACCAACAAATTGGACTCTTGTCATTGTTACCTCAACGGAAATTTCCCCTCCACGCTTTGTACTACATAGTTTTCTCATGATATTAATTTCTTATGACCACTATCTAAAGGTGAGTATTCGATCGAGTCAAGTCGAGTTAAAAATTTTTGGGTTTTTCAAGTTAACGAGTCATATTTTATAACGCGGAGTTGACTTGAAATTTTTTTGAGTCGAGTCGGCTTTTCGAGTTTCTGTTTAAATTTAATTGTAAATATTTATAATATTATTTGATTCTAATTTAAGTTACTCTCTATAACCATGTATATAATACAAATATATTTCTTCATATTTTTTTTACATGCGATATACATATATCATACAAAGTTGAAGGACTCAACTCAAACTTGAAAATAAATCCACTAGTTACTAAAATTTCGAGTTATTCGAGTTGTATTTTATAACTTGGTTTGAACTTGAAGTTTTTTTTCGAGTCAAGTCGAGTTTATGAAATTGCAACTCGAAGTCAATTCGAGTCGATTTTTTTCGAGTCGAATTGAGTCGAAAAATCGATTTTTCGATTTAAGTCGAGTTTTGCTCACCCCTACTGCCATCCAAAGTACAGTAAAAATATTGCACCAACCAACTTATCTCAGCGATAAAAAGAATCGTTGTTGATCCTAGAGGTCACGAATTCGAGCACCAGCGATGCAACAGATTGATTGAGCGTTCATTGTCAAATGATTGAGAGTATTTATAACATATACTATTCATAAACACATTAGCTTAATAAAAAAATATTAGATCTATTATATAGATAAAAGGAAAACTATTATTTTTATTTTAGTTGATATTAGTCCTTGTGTTCAATTTTGGAGTTCAATCTTTTATCCTTTTCTCTAATAAAAATGTTATAAATGAAGTATAAGGGAAAACTATTTATTTGGTATTTTATTTTTTGTGTGTTTCCGTTTGAGTCATCTAAATATTTCTTTGTAAAATACGTCTAACATTAGGTTTTATTTCTATTTTAATACCTTAATGTTAAGTTTGATTATTGGTTAAACGAAAATGGTGATGTGGTATGATATAATAATAGTTTTAATCCAAAGACTTTCACACCCTATCAAATTGGTCATGCTTCTAAATAATTTAATATTTAAAAAATCTATCGATTTGGTCCTTGTTTTAATTTGAAATAATATAATATTTAACGATAATTTAATTTTTTCAATAATTTGATAATAATTTATTATTAATTTAATAAATTTTTCACATGTTAAAATTTTATTAAATTATTTTAAATTAGGACAAATTTGATGAAATGTGTAAACTTTGAGCCTAAAACTATTATTATGCTATACCACATCTAGGATTGTAAATGAGACGAGACAGATCGTGAGTTACTTGAGATCGACTCTGTCAAAGCTCGATAAATACTCAACTCGAATGAACTTAACTCAAGTTCTTAACAAGCTACTTGATACTCGACACGATAAGATCGTGAGCAACTCAAAAAATAAAATATATTAAGATTTTATTTTTAAAAAATAAATTATTAACAACACTAACATTTATGTGTTGATTTTTTTTAAAAATGTAGTTTAAGATTTTTATGTATTTAAGGTCCAGGTTCGAGTTTGAGGCTTCAATCAAGTTAAGTTTAATATTTTTTTTTCATTTATAGACTTTTCGAGCTTTTACGAGTTTCAGTTCATGATTTCGAGTTCGAGTCGAGCTTAAAAATTTTAAGCTTACGAATTTTCGAGTCGAGCTCAGTAATACTCGAGCTCGACTCTGCTTGTTTATAACCCTAACCACATCATCATTTCTGTTAAGTCAATAGTAAAACTTAATGACGAGATACCAAAATAGAATAGATTGCATTGAATAAAGGATGTTTCCTTGTGTGCTAATGATGGTTAATAAAATAATTGGACACTCTTTCCCCATTCCTCTAATTTAATTAGGTTTCGACTCGATATAATTAAAATGAATTTTTTAATAAGATTCATATTTCTTTTTAAAAAATAATATTACATTAGGTATGATTGTAAATACATCAATTTTCAGAATTTTTTGGATGTATTTCAACTCGAGCAAAACAAGGTCATAAATATTCCTTAAAATATAAAAGATCAAACAACAACAAAAAAATTAATGTAATGGGATAAAGGGGAGGTATGATATAGGCTGCTCTCAACGTCAGGTTGAGAGCAGCTTCCGTGGGAGACCTCCGACAATCAATTTTATGAATTACCTACCGTAGAACTCGATCCCACAACCACAAAGTTAAGACTCTTGTGTTCTTACCAACTAAGCTGGACGGACAATTCATAAAAGTCCAAACAACGAACTCATTTATTGTATCTAACAACGCCCATGTGATGAGAGATTTTTTTTTAAAAAAAATAAAGAAATTAATTTCAAAGGCCGTGATTGGCGCACACGTAATTCAATTCCAAATCAATTTTCATTTTTCAATATTAAAAAATTATTAAATTCATTTTATATTAAAAAATTCACTATTATTTCAGAACCGGAAATTCAGCAGGAAACCGTGATGTTGTGCTCCTCCTTCTGCCGCCGTACGGCCCGTAGTATCTGACGTGGCAATTTTCACCCACGGTTAAAAATAGTGAAATTATAAACTTGGTTTTAACCGCGGTAGAAACAGTTAGCGGCGGTTAGGTGAAATCCTATGCATGCAAGACCTAACTTGAAAACGCTAACGACGTCGTTTCTTCATTTTTTATTTTTTGCCTTTTGCTCGTTGCTCTATAAAAAACCGTTTCCTCGGAGCTTGTACTCTGACTCGCTCAGTCGCCCTGCTCCTTCTTCTTCTTCTACTGCGACTACTTCTCCCCCCCTTTTCTCAGCCTTTTCCTGTTTGTTTTCTTTTCTTGTCCGGATTTTCCGTTTGGGTTGTGAAAATAATTTTGACTACCGAAGAGGCAGAGAAAGTTGCAAATGGCGGTCGCAAACAAGTGGACTTTCGCTTCTTTAGCTCTTCTTTTTTTGCTTCTTGTCGGAGCAATTGCCATTGTACGGACCGGCAACTCTTCAAGGTTTTCTCTCTCTGTCCCTCTTCGCAGTTCAATTCTGAAGCTTACTTTCTCTCTTATTTTCCCTTTTGTTTTCATTTTAGTAAAAGAAGTAAGAAACAGAGATCTCTGTTTTTTATACCGGGCTTTTCTCTTGTTTTCTCCTTTTTTTTTATACTGAAATAGAGTAATAATACAATTTATGTAAAGCTTTCATTGGCTAGATCTTGGAGTATATTTTTGGAAAATGAATCTCATTCGCCAAAAGGAAACTAGAAATTAAAGAATTCATTATATTTATCTTCAAATCTTCATCAACTCATGCAAAGTGAGATCGCACTGGACTTTTTTAATGCATAAACTGAAAATGACTCGCTTTTTTTCGTGCATTTTATCCATTTAACTTCTTATATTTGTCCATTTTTACAGCAATGTGGAGACGGAGAAGGTGCAGAGCTCGAACAACTCAACAATGGCAGCTAGGTAACGCACTGCAGAGCTCAAACACAAGCTTTCGCTTTCTGTTAAAGAAGTAACTGATTATCTCATCTTAGCCGTTAGTTTTATCCTTTTGTTTACGCTCCTGTTTGGACCGTTGGATGATGGGAGCGGTTACTATTTTATCCATCTCTAACAATGTGTTAACGATTCCCTATCTGTTGAGATCCAGATCCATGGATCCCAACCGTTTATTCCGTCACCACATTCCTCTTTTCTTTTATCAGCTTACCAGAATTACCCTCCCCTTACAAGAAAAAAGAAAAACGAAATTGAAAGTGCATTTTCGCCATTTCGGTAACCGGTTCGCTCGCGCTTTCTTTTCCCACCATTCTCTTAACGGGGTTGGGAGTTTTGGTATACTTGCTGCTGCTTTATATCTATTTACGTACTCGCGTTTAGAAAACTACACGTGTCTAGGACTTTGTTTATTTATTTATTGGTTTCAGTTTAACGACGAGTTTTGGTTGGGTGATTTTCAGGTCAGAAGAGGTTGAGCCACTGAACCAGCATGCCGTTCCTGACCCGGAGGCAGTAGCAGCGGAGGTCGAATCCATCATTGACATGTGAGTATATCAATTTATAAAAATTATTATTTAAAAATATTGAAAATGTATATTTTCGATTAAACAAGTGATATTGTATCTTATTCATTCTTTTAAATAAAACATGCGATAATCTGTCATCTCATCTGTAGAAATAGAATTAAAAGAATTTAATCATCAATTAACAAAACATTATCCAGTTAATATTTGTTTCCATCTAACTTCCATTAAATGTAAAAGTTTTTATGGTAGGGGTAGTGATTTGTAGTTGTAGAACCTTTTTTTTTTTAGAAATCTCTTTAGAGAACATTTTATATTTTAATTGTCTTAAAGTTTTGGTGCCTAAAGATTATTTCGTTAAAAATAGGTGCCTAAAGTTTTATCTGTTAAATTTTTAGGTATTTTTTTAAAAAATCAAAAAAATATGAATGTGACACGTGCCACTTATCGATAGTTACATAAAAATGTAACGGAGAAAATTTTAGTCACTGATTTTTAGTAAAAAATTCTTTAGGTACTAAAATGTTTTTCGAAGCATAATTTATATACTTATTTTTGTATTAAGCCAATTTAATTTGATTAATATTTTCTAAATATATGAATTAAAATATGTTAAGTACAATTGAATTTAATTTAAAAAATTGATATCATTAATCAAAATTCGTTGCGTTCTTTACACGATCATGATATATATTTTCATACTACTATTGTTATATTTTAACCCCTTTCATTTTATCTCTCTGGCCAATCTGATGCCATCATTTTTACACGCTTTCTGATGGTACAAAATTTTCTATAGGCTTATGAGCTTATTCTAATTGTCCAAATTAAGCATTTTCTTTGTAGATGCACGTTCATTTGTCTATTCATGGTTAAACAAACCCTCTTTTGTCTGAACGCTTTACAGTTACTATCTTTTGTTTGTTTTCATAATTTTTTTATAAATGTAAATGTCCAAGTTCTTGGGGATATAATTTTGGAGGAAAATAACAGCTTTTACCCTTTTGTTGCAAAAGTCCAAGGTAAAAATATATCCATAGGCCATAGAAATTGATCTGGAATGACCTTATTGTCCTCGATGAATGACAAGAATTATACTCTGCACCCTTTGCCTGTTTATGCGATACCTTTCCTATTGGGATCTAAGTCATGGAAAGTGGGGTTAGTTTACCCCCACCGACAATAATTTCCCTCACCAAAAACCAGAAATCATAATTAATATTTTACTATGACAGCTAGTGAGTTTATTGCATGTTCCTGTTAATAATGCCTAAATGTATACATGCACATTTGATTTGATGGCAGGTATATTCGCAATGTGACTCGGAGGGAGTTGGGTTTCTTCACGTGTGGAACTGGTAACCCCACTGACGATTGCTGGCGTTGTGATGTAAACTGGCAGAAGAACCGGAAGAGACTTGCTGATTGTGGGATTGGTTTTGGAAGGAATGCAATTGGTGGGCGTGATGGACGTTTCTATGTTGTCACCGACCCTAATGATGACGACCCTGTTAATCCCAGACCCGGTACCCTGCGTCATGCTGTGATCCAGGACGAGCCCCTTTGGATTGTGTTCAAGAGGGACATGGTTATTCGGTTGAAACAGGAGCTCATAATGAACAGTTTTAAGACCATCGATGGCCGTGGGGCCAATGTGCATATTGCTAATGGGGCATGTATCACCATCCAGTATGTTACCAATGTCATTATTCACGGTCTTCACATTCATGACTGTAAGCCAAGTGGGAATGCCATGGTGAGAAGCTCACCGTCTCACTTTGGGTGGAGGACGATGGCTGACGGCGATGCCATCTCCATTTTCGGTTCGAGCCACATTTGGGTTGATCACAATTCTCTCTCTAATTGTGCTGATGGTCTTGTTGATGCTGTCATGGGCTCAACTGCCATTACCATCTCCAACAACCACATGACCCACCACAATGAGGTAAAATATCAGCTGCCTGATGATCTCTCTTTTGTAGCTCAACTTCTATCCATGACATCCTCATTAATGGTAAAGCTAACTGTGTTAAATCCGTGATTAAATGTAGGTGATGTTGCTAGGTCACAGTGACTCGTACACAAGGGACAAACAGATGCAAGTCACCATCGCCTACAACCATTTCGGAGAGGGACTTATCCAGAGAATGCCAAGGTAATCAATTAAACCTTTCACATTAAAGCCCTTTTTGGTATCAATGGAAGTAAATCGAACTAGATATATTTTTTTGGGGGGTGCTAAATGCACAGGTGTAGGCATGGATATTTCCATGTGGTGAACAACGACTACACGCACTGGGAAATGTATGCCATTGGAGGAAGTGCAAGCCCAACCATAAACAGCCAGGGTAACAGATACGCAGCTCCAGCCAACCGATTTGCAAAGGAGGTTACCAAGAGAGTGGAGACACCTGCAGGCCAATGGAAGAGCTGGAACTGGAGGTCAGAAGGGGACTTGTTGCTGAATGGTGCTTACTTCACTCCGTCTGGGGCTGGAGCCTCAGCCAGCTATGCCAGAGCCTCGAGCTTGGGAGCCAAGTCCTCTTCCATGGTTGGGGTCATGACTTCCAATGCCGGTGCTCTTCCCTGCCGCCGAGGCAGGCAATGCTAGTATATCCACCTCTCCCAACTCAATTAAACCCATGATTCTCACAAAATATCCATTCCATTGCTTGTTTGTTTGTTTTTTACTCTTGACTACCATCTACCTACCACCCGTTTCGTCATATATTTGTCAAAGTGTACATTTTTTACACATTGTCAGTATATGGTGTCTGTTTGTGGAATTGTTTTATTGCCTCAACCTCGGCCTGCTTCAACTCAACCCCCCAAGTAACCAACGGTGTCTTTAGGAGCCAGGTGCGGAAGCGTTGTCCTTTTTTCTTTCTTTCTTCGTTTTCCCACTGCCAAGTGTTGTTAAGGTCATGGTCCGTTTCAGCCTTTAGAGAAAAGCCATCCATTGAGTAGCATTGTAGGAGGAGGAGGATTGAATGATTTTGTGGGGTTTTTTAGCCTTCAATTGTGTGTAGCTTACAAAAGCAAAAAGCGAGGAGTTATACTGAAAGACTTTTGTTACAGATGAATGAGAATGATGGATGATTACATTACAGAGTCAAAATAGGCATTTGATATTTCTTTTCCTTTTTCACTTTTTTTTTTAATTGGGTGAGTAATGAACATGCTCCCGTGCCCTTTTGTTTTTATGTTAAGTTTGGTCTGACAATGCATTAGTGGTGAGTGATTCACTCTTTAGAGACAGGCAGGGGATCCCCCACATGACCTGAAAAGTTAATATAATGACCTTATTTCTTGGCTTTTCTTTTTCTTTTTCTGCTCTTATTTTCTACCAAACGATAGAAGCCAAGGCCTACCCCATCGCTTCAGTCCAAGAGGACAAATAAAATATTTAACTACCAATGATATATGTTTATAGTCATTTTTTAATAAATTAAATATTTATAACTTTTCAAAAAGGTGAGCCGTTTCTTAACAAATTCAGAACATAGTGACCTGAAACGTATTTTAACCTAAGGAGGCTTGACCCAAAAGGGCAGAGTCACGTGGAGGATGCGGACTGATTTGCATTTAAGGAAATGGATTGGACCGACCCAGACCCCTTTTCTTTCCATCCTCATCTTTACATGCTTCTCCTTGACCTCTCCCACTCATTCATTAACTCAGAAGATTTTTAAATACCAATCGCAACGCGTTGCTTTCCTATTTTATTCTTTGATGCCTGTCCAAATCAGACCCCATTAGTTTGTCTTCTCCATTAAATAGCCCTTTGAAACCCCCCCAAAATCACGATTTAACCCTCGAATAATACGAAACTTCTGACTTTAGTACTGAACCCTTTGTTTTATCCCACTTTGATACCTAAACTATGCCATATCCCCAAGAACAACACATTCCATGTAATGAAAAACTTGTTGGCAAATCTACCAACTAGTGCCTGGAGCAGCAGTTTGTGATTAATATACATTGTAGCTCATATTCACTTGACCAAATTCTCTATGCTTCATTACTGTCATATTAGGACCATTTCATTCTCAAAAATCAAAATCTAACTTCAAATAACAAAGGAAAAGAGTTAAGGGAAGAAAGAAGAAAACCAAAAACAAGGCGTAACAAGTCGCATACTTTCACGAGGCATCGTGTTTCAGGAGAAGACTATGAGTGGGAGACATGACGGAGTCGTCTTCTAGCCTTTTAGATTCCATCAGCATTTTCACGACTTCATCTGTATAGATGGCAGATCGAAAGGAGACATGCATGCAAGTTCATAATAAAGCGATCCACAAGACGGTAATCACGCGAGCGACGATACTTCCACCGTCAACATATAGGAGATCATCCAGTATCCCGGCGTCGTTCTGTCTAGCCCTTTTCCTCAACTTTGATTTGGATCACTGAAATTTACTATAGAAGCTTATGAAACAAATCAAATTTCATTTTAGTTTGGTACGCAATAAGTTCCCTCTGGATTTCAATGTGGATACTTTAGCTTCCTATTCAGGGACATATTTATATATAGAGTGGGAGCATGGTTTTAAATAGCGGTCCGCGACCGTGATAGCGCCTGCGAAATAACGGTAGTACTGCCTTTCAATATACCCGTTATGACCTTAATCGCGGTAAATGAGACATGACCGAAGACGCGATTTTAAGGCGATAAATATAAATAAGAATAAAATGATGGTCATAGTCTAATTATTAAACTATCAACTTAAACACAACATGTCGAATGTAAAAACCCAACATATATTAAATAAGAATAAAATGATGGTCATAGTCTAATTATTAAACTATCAACTTAAACTTAAAAAATGGAGAGATTAAAACAATATGTTAAATTGTTCGAATCGAAAATCGATCGACAATAGGTGGAGGATCTCATCTCGAATGTAAGATTGTAAGCAGTCCACATGTAACCATTCGAGGTGAGACACCACCATTTTAATGGCTCTCTCTATCATGAAATTATCCCGGAAAAAGAGTAATTCACCTGAAATGATTTTGAATCGATGCCCGTCGAAAAGGTTGCCATGACAATGGCACCTACTGCAATCAGAAACCCCTGGCAATGGAGAGGGAAAAAGACTACAAAACTCTGAGAAATATAGTCATAAAGTTGGGAGAGAAGGATGGCGAACTCTTACGAGTACGGTGGTCGAATCGAAACGTCCGTTATCCGGCTTTTGTACGTTGCATTTCTCGTCGGCCGGTTCACTGAAAAGCCATGTGGTGAAGCCAAGTGTCAGTTCTTTTGCTGATTTCCTCAGGCCTGTCATATTGACGCATGAAGGAATTGATTGATCCTCTAGGAAAATGATCCTGGACTTGTATCCTACACATTTTCGTACGTAAACACATATCTATCGAACTTCGAAAACACTAAGACGGGCCATATTAACGTGTAAGTATGTCGATCCGTATAATGTCGTATGCGTATCAGTATGTCGATCAGTATAAGATCGCATGCTTATATAGGTTGCTTCAACCCAATTCATTGCATACCTTCTAATGGCAGACCAACAGAGGAAAACAACATAAGAAGCCACAATTCCTGAAGATAAGAGGCCTTTATTAACCTGCATTAAGAAGCCATAATTCATTTAAGATGAATAGAAACTTCGGGTTTGGAAAGTTCGTTATTATTCGTCGACTATACTCGTATCAGACACAAGACATTGTATGACATGTATACGAGTGCGAGTACGAAAGGGGTTATATGATAGAAGAACATCATCATTATACCTTTGATTGCAAGGACATAGCCATCATCACTATGAGCAGAAAGGCAGTCCATGTAATGAAGAATATGTTGAGAGAACAAGCTGGACTTGGGGCATAAAAATAGTACATGGACACAATTCCGCATATCGAAACACCTTAAAAGACCGTCGAGGTAAATAATGCAATGGAACAACAGCTGAAGGAAAACACGATCGTAATTCGTTAGTAAATATACTTGTTCGATTACTCGATAAGTTTAATCTTTGAATAAGGCATAACATACCTTTGCTCATTAGGTGACCAGTACTTATTCCACCATCTCATAAACTCTGAAGCTTATAAGTTGCAGAAGGAGAAAAATCCTATATCAGATGAGCAGCAAAACATAATCTGTGGGAGATGAAGATCATGTAATGAAAAGCTGTGAAATTAAGGAATGATCGTACAAAGAATACCCTGCACCGACGCGAGCGACTTCTTCTGCAAGAAAGAGGAAATAAGGTCCTTAATTCAGGGTATGTTGAAAAGGAGAGCACTCGTGCATACAGTCATACTAACATGCTAAAAGTTTCGAGTTCTTGGATTAGGGATTCGAAGCATACCGTATACGTGGATGAAATCTGGAGGGAGGAAGAATGGTACAACCATGGATACAAGCAACAGGACAAGCTTCATCCCCCACCACCCCGAGTGCCATTTACTGCAAACTTCATATAATTTTCTTGCAGTGAATGTGGTTTGAAACATGAGAAGGAAAAACATCTGGAGTTTATGTCAAGGAACACGATTTTCGAAGTTGGGAAAGTACACATGATTCTAAGTACATGTCAACACAGACATATATTGTTAATAGGAAGATACGAAGCATCCGAAACTTTCCGGTGATTCCGCAAGCTTCTTTATCTGTGAAAATAATATTTTTCGTAAGTAAAAACGGAAGAAAAGAGAACAGAACATGTAACTCAATATCTCCCAAGCAGGTTCGGACGAGCATTACTTCAGCAACAGAAATGTACCACAGGATATATGCTCAAGGAATCACAGACTAGACTCACAGTAGAGTGGAGGGAAAAAACCGTGGCCATAATCCCGAATGAACCACACAATTAAGTTGGTAAAGAAGAAGGTGATGCCGTAAACGTATCTGGCTCGGAGCGACTCGTTCCTCGCTTCGAAACAGTCTATATTCCTCGGATCCACTGACGATACCTTTAGTTACTGAGAGTTGCTTGAACTTATATGTATCACAGTAGATTCAAATTCAACTGATGAAATAGCACTCATCTCTGCCATTTTCAAGCACAATGGAAGAAGCTTTCATTGATGGACATGGAAAATATAAATAATTCAGATGATAAATAAATAAATGCAAGAAGAAAAAAAGGATTGAAATTTAGAAACCTTTTGCTTTTGAGGGTTGATCCGTAGTGTGTAAATTCTGTGTCTGGCAGTCTTGAAGAACATATGGATGAATCTTCCTTGGCCATTCGTTCAAGTAAATGTTAAGAAGAATCAGTTAAACATTACCTACTGTTGATCCAACAGCGTGGAGCCGTTGCTTCTTTTTCAGCCCTTTTTTCACGTTTTTACATTAATTTTCTGATCACCATCCAAATCGTCTTCAGCTTGAAGCTTGGAATTTCTTTCATTTTCTAAGCAACCAAACAAATATTCTGCATATTATTAAGGAAGTTGCGCCAACACCCACCCCACCCAAAAAAATAGAAATAGCAATAAACGTGTTTCTGTTACTTGTTCGATTTACAGCTTCACGACGTCTTCTTTCGTGTCGTGGACGGCACCACGGCAGCCTTTCGGGGGTCGACGATGTTATATTTTGTTGCGTTATAAATAATTTACACCTAAGTAATTCGCATGTATATATTTTATTGAAAAACTAAAAATTAATATATAAAAATTATTATTTATAAATATGACGAAAGGTACACCAAGACACTTCGACATCGTTACATTCAATATTGCAGTACCAATAATTTCCAGAGAATGATCATCTCGCTCAACTCTAACTCTAGAAACGAAAACTTAAAACCAGGGAAATGCCCTCAGTGTATTGTTAGGAGGAATGACCTCAATAATCCATGCCTCCCATACCGCCGGGCATTGCCGGAACATCCTTCTCATCTTTGGGAAGTTCAACTACAACGGCTTCGGTTGTTGTCATCAATGAGGACACACTGCACCACAAAGGAAACAACTCACCTACTTACTTTCAGGAATCCCAACCGATAAGGCAATCCTAGAAAATACATTCACGACGGCTTACCTTGCAGCATCGACCAAAGCAGTTCGTATTACTTTCAATGGATCAATAATACCTGCCTTCACCATATCAACATATTCACCTGGT